GAGGACCCAGTTAGCTATAGTTATCTATAGTTATCTATAGTTATCTATAGTTAACGTATCCCGTTCATTGATCTGTGCCAGCCTTTAAAATTCTTACAAAAATAAGTTTTAAACTGAAATTAATGTTTTCAATCAAATTTTGCTCTTTCATTTGTGATTCAGCCTCTCATACCTTTACTAACTTTTCTTTTTACAATCCAAATCATACCAGTGATTGCCGGTGATCGTTTAGAAGTGCTCAGCTAGAGAAAGCTCTTTTAGAATTAAATCCCTGCATTGTTACCGTAGTCTTTAGCTTACTTTAACGATATTTTAACTTTAACGATAGAAATGATCTCTTACTTTGACCAGGAACAACTCAAGACAAAGCTAAACTCAAAGTCGGCCTCTATTTTGTCAATGACTAAAATGTTAGTGTCAATTAAAGTATCCATTCTGTCTAAAGCCCTAATTGGATCCTGATTCCGGAATCTTATTAAATTTTTATTATTTTTAAAGTGTGTTTGTTTTCTATCAAATTTTATTCTTTCACTTTCATGACTAAATTCAACTAGAATTCGACTAGAATTTACTTTACCATTTCTTTCTAGAATCCAAATCATGCCAGTGATTGTGATTGTGATGATTGATCGTTTAGAAATGCTTATTTAGAGAAGTTTATTTAGAGGAAACTCATTTAGAGGAAGCTCATTTAGAAATGCTCATCTAGAAAAGGCTCAGTTAGAATTAAATCCCCGCATTGTTTTTGTCATTTCTGAATTTCTAAAGCTATCTATTTCAAATTTGATTTATTCATTTTTCAAATCGGTGATTTCAATTACAATTCGATTTTGCTATTTCTTTCTAGAATCGAAATCATGCCGGTGATTCATGTTGAAAGCGATGATCACTTCAAGACTCTCTTAGAGGAAAACAAAAACAAAGTCGTCGTCATTGATTTCACCGCCAGCTGGTTGGTTTCAGTTTTGGGAATATAAGATAGATAAAAAATAAGATAGAAATATTTACGCAATAAGATGGATTTTAAAATATTCAGTTGATCGATTTAGCACTTTACTGTACTGTACAAGTAGTGTACTGTACAAGTAGTGTACTGTGCAGGTAATGTACTGTACAAGTACTGTACTGTACAAGTACTGTACTATCTTTACCAATGAGCTTTTGATTTCAAAGTCTAGCAAGTGAAGTATGCTAATACAGTCAACGCTGGATAGTAGATCATTTAATAGTAGATCATTAATAGGACATTTGATAGGATCTATAGGTTGATGTCATTTGGCATTTTGAGTTTTGGCTTTTTGTCATTTTGTCATTTTTTGTGACATTTAATAGTAGATCACTTTTGGAGGATCTCTCCAATGGCAATCTCTCCAGAAATCACTAACTTTTGCAAAAGTTCGAATATTTTATCATAAAACTAGCTTTATATGCTTACAACTAGCTTATCTGCTTACACTATTGTTAACAATCAGCTGCTAATCAGCTAGCTATTCTAATTTCCTAGTCATTAAGCTCATTAAGCATTTCTAGTCATTAAAAACAGTTTTGAAAAGTTGAAATCGTTTACTAGTGCCTAATAGCCTAAAGCCTAGTAGTTTACTAGTGTTTGAGCATTTAAATGTCGTGTTAAAGCCACAGAATCGTATTGATCAACTTATTCACAGTGTTTTTGATGTTTTTAGGACTGATTAGACAAAACTCTCGATAGTAAATCATTTTTGGAGAATCCCTTACTTACTACTATCGAGCGTCGACTGTATTTAGCTTGCAGCTTTTCTTTTTGCAGGTGTGGCCCATGCAAATTCATCGCTCCACTCTACGAGGAGTTGGCTAATTCCCATCCGAACACCGTTTTTCTCAAAGTCGACGTTGATGAGTGCACTGGTTAGTCTTAAAGTAAAGAAATAGTTCTTAAAAAAAGCGTTTCAGGAGCCGCGAATGACGTCGAAGCGATGCCGACTTTCCGATTTTTCGTCAACGGGTTAGTGCGGGTTTTGTCGTTTAAAATTCTATTTTAAAACCTTGTTCCTTATTCCAGACAAGGTACATAGTCATTTTTTAAAATTCAATTTTAATAGAATGAAATGAAAATGGTCAAGTTCTCGAAAATTAGATGGATAATCGTTTTTCATGTTAGTCGGCCGTCAAATTTCTTCTACTTTCTGAAAATCATGCTTTCTTTCTTTCTTGGCTTGGCAACTTGGCGATGCACCACGTCTGCTTCTAGTTGGCTAGTCCTAGTTGACTTGCTTGCTTAAAACCAAAGTGGGCTAAAAATGAACACAACTAATGCCTAAAACTTGTAACTCAGATATCTCGAGTATTGAGCTTTTCTATACAAGTTCCCTTCCAGGATGCTTTAGGAGTTTAGTCAGCATTGAGGGCCAAAAACTGAAAAGGGATTCGGAATCAGCGTAGTCGATGTTATAAGATGGAGTTTTAAAGGGTCCAAAGGCAAGTGGTGACGTTTGTAAGTCTTCAATAAGTCTCTAAGTCTTCGTTTGTAAGTCTGGCAAGGATCTAGTTTCTTGTGTGCAAACTATGCTATTATTTTACCCTTTAATCAACAGATTTCAACAGATTCAATGAGTTAAAGCTTTAAAAAACATTGAAAAAGTCTGGTTAGTAGTCTTTTTCAAAGTCTGATCAGTAGTGAGCTTCGCCTTGGCTTCCAGACAATAGAGAAACTTTCTAGTGCAGTTTTTCTAAGCAGTTCTTTCAATAAGGAAACAAATTATCATTTTCAATAGATTCTTCTTGAAGAAAAAGTGTATTATAGATGATTTTTTGGCTATAGAATCTTTTCCAATGAAAAACCCTATAGAATCTTTTTCAATAAGCATTTTTCTTTCAGAGAGAAAGTCGCCGAGTTCACCGGTGGAAACGAGTCAAAACTGAAGGAATACGTCGAGAAATACGCTGTTTAAATCAACGAAAATCTCCATTTTTAAATGTAAAACTGTTTTCCGAGAAAGTATTTTGATAAAACTTGCCTTATTTTTCGGATTTGACCAAAATTATGACCAAAAATCAAGTTTTACCCTTTCAAATCAATAAAAATTAATGAAAATCAATGAAAATCAATAAAAATCAATCTTTTTTTAAACGAATAGCTTTTCTGAAGTCTTTTAGAGAGTCTTTGGACTCTTTAGAGTCTTTTAAAGATAAAATTTTACTTTCAAAACCAAGATTTACATTGCAAAATACACAAAAAATAGAAATTTTTCTAAAAAAAGCAAAAAAAGAAAACAAAAAACTTCAATCCCGTAAGAAGGCTGGTCCAAAGAGGAAAAAATAGCCATGAAACTAGCTAATTTAGCTAATTTCATTAAAATAAGGCATTTTCTTGAAAATCATTCGAGAAATTTGAAAGATTTGGTGATTTTTGAGAAAAAATTCGACATTTAAGCTTTCTTTTAGTTCGAAAATCTTTGAATTGCTATAAAATCCCCAATTTTCAACGAATCAAGCTAATTCTTTTTGCAATCGATTCTCCTTGAAAAATTCTATCAAATAAATATTAGGTTTATCAGGGAAAAGTGGAGTTTAGTGGGGTAAAATTGGGGTTGAAGTTGGTGGGACACTTTGTGCGTTCTCTGTGCGTTCTCTTCATGTTGCTCGTAAGAAAAGCGCGACCCCGGAGGGGGGAAGGACCCGCCGGTAAACAAGGAGGACGCGAGAAAAACGGCGTCTGGCACACGGCCCCGGTGGAACTGACGGAAAAGCCCCCCGCCCCGGTTTAATTACCCAAGTCTGCGTACTCTTTATGTCGGTCATAGGAAAAACGGCCTCTGGCACACGGCTCTTGGTAAACGCTGTGGAAGGGGCGCTCGGTCGATTTGTTTACCCAAATGTGCGTACTCTTGTCGTCGCTGTTAGGAATAAACAGCCTCTGGCAAACGGCTCATTAGGTGGGGAAATTTGTGCGTTCTCTGTGCGTACCCTTGTCGTCGCTCGTAAGAAAAAACGGCGTCTGGCACACGGCGCTGGGGTAGATGGTGTCGGAAACCCCCGTCGGCCGGTTTAGTTACCCAAGTTTAAAGTTAATTGCTCATTGCCTCGATTTCGGTTTTATTTCATATAGAAACTACTAAAAACCCTTCCCAAGTTTCCTGCGCGATTATTTAAAAGCAAGGACCGACCGTAAATACTGTAATAGTACCCCACCCCCCTCGTACAGTCGGGTAGTCGCAAAGGTTTTTTAGTATTTCATTTTTTTTCAAAGCGCCCGTACTTTCAAAAAATGTGTCTTTGGTATCAAAAAATAGCTGAAATTCAGGGTTATTTTTTGAAACCAAAACGAACATTGTAGCATAAACCAGTGTCAAGAAAAACTCGTTCAAAGCTAGACTACGCAACACTCCGCACCGTCATTACGCGATTATTAAAAGCCAAAAAGCTAAAGAAGCCAAAGAACCTAAAAAACCCCGAAAAAACCTCATTTTAACGTCCATTCCACCGTGCTTTCCTGCGAAATTGATAGAAAAATAGAATAAAAACAATAAAAAGCTCTTCGCTAGCAATGTTCACTAAAAAAGTTTTGATAGCAAATTCATAAAATCGATAGTTTTCTCAAAAAAAACCCCCGAATCTTTCAATTTCAAAAATCGCTTTTATTTGAGTAGAATTCGAATGAGCAACCACAAAACTACGATAGTGTTTTGTGTCAGAAGTACGCACAAAAAAAAAAACACCCGAAAAGTGAAATTCAGGCAAAAGATTTCAAAAGAAAAACGAAAAAAACGAAAAACAAAAAAAACAAAATCATCGGTTTTTCGGCTTAACTAGGAGGAAAGTTCAAAGTATCACAGAGAATTTTTTCATTTTTTTTTTGGAGAGAAAAGCTCGCTCGAGAAAAGCCAAAAAAAAAAGTCGATAAATTAGGGGAAAGGGTTTTTGTTCAAATGGTTCAAATGGTTCAAATGGTTCAAATGGTTCAGAGGCTCAAGAGGGGTTTTCGGAGGGGGGAAAGATCGTGAGGGTCGATTTCATCGATTTCATCGAGAGACTGTGCTCGCCGATCGGTGCTCGCTTGAGCTGTGATTTGAAGAGACGACACCTGAAAATTGAGATTTTCGAGAAGGATTTACAGTTGTCGGTTCTGGGCACCGGTCTTTTGAGAGAATCGTGGTCTTTTGAAAGAATCATGGTCCTTTGAAGGAATCATGGTCCTTTGAAAGAATCGTGGTCTCTTCAAAGAATCGTGGTCTCTTCAAAGAATCGTGGTCTCTTCAAAGAATCGTGGTCTCTTCAAAGAATCGTGGTCTCTTCAAAGAATCGTGGTCTCTTCAAAGAATCATGGTCTTTTGAGAGAATCGTGGTCTTTTAAAAGAATCGTGGTCTGTCAGATCGTAATCGTGGATGTTTGCCGTAAGATGTTTCCAGCCATTTCCTGATGTTCGAGTTACAAGTCCTTCCCTTATTGACCCGGTGTTTGATCTTCCCGAGTTCTTCAACTCGAGCCCATAGACATAGAAAGACATCGTTATCAGCTTCAGCCTCCATCAGTGTTTGCATTCTTGTCGCGGTAGTTTCTTTTTGGTGGTGATAGCGATTGGGTGACTCGCCTTCGCCAATCGGCTAAGCCGTCAGAGCTCAGCAAAGCACAAATCATCAAAGGCTTTTGCTTTCGTTAAAGCCAACATCTCCAACCATTTCACCATCAGCATCGCTTTTTGGCGGAACCGTATTGGAACCGTATTAGATCAAAAAGGAACCGTATTGGAACCGTATTAGATCAAAAAAGGAACCGTATTGGAATGCTGAGGGTGAACCTTCTTCTTGACTGTTTATGGACTGCTTCTTCTTGACTGTTGATCGTCTCGAGTCTTTCGAGTCTCGTCACAATTGGGCATCACAATTGGGCGTCACAATTTGTGGCGTATCTATTTCCCCTCATCATCCAGCTCATTCTAATCGGATTCACCAGCCAATAAAACACTTTTTAGTAAAAACAGATAATTGCAAAAGACCACGATTCAGGGAAAGAGCCTATATTTTCAATAGATTTGATTTCTCCTCACCAGAATCAGCACAATCGTTTCCAAGAGGAGCTTCGTCTAAAGGAGCAAATAAATATAGAGGAACCGTTCGATAAAGAGCATCTCGAGCATCCTGAAAATTTCCATTTAACTTTTAGCAATAACAACTTTTAGATCACTGTTAGAATGTTTTGTTAGACTTTTCAATGAATCTCAATTACCTGTCTGCCTAGCTCAGCAAGAATTGTGCACAATTTGCCGACGGACGCCTGCTCGGGATGTTGAATTGCCCATTCAGCCAAGAGTTGATCGGTCCTAGACAGCGATTGACCGGTTGAGTCCACTTCGGGTACCTGGAAACGGGTTGGTAAAAGCCTCTTGTCTTTTATTGGGGAATCTACCTGATCAGTTAGGTTTAGCTTGACCGCGAGAATGCTCCAATCTCGGCCCATTGCATCGGGCGGATCAAGCAAAGCGGCCAGCTCACAACGAGACGTCAACTGCAGATCGGCAACACCGACGTCGATGCCTGCAATGGGAAATGTGATGTGAGCCTGAGTTTAAGCCTAAGCCTGAGCCTGAGCCTGAGCCTGAGCCTGAGCCTGAGCCTGAGCCAAGCCCTGGAGTTGTCCCTGGGATCCCTACAGTACCCTTACTGCAGTCCCCAAACTCGCCAGAAGCCAGATTTGAACCTGGCTTCAGCCCACTGGGCAGTTACTGCAAGGTACTGACCAGCAGCTTCACTCTAAACCTACCCAATGTGAGTAATCGTGCCACTTCTCGGCTCCCAAAGCAAACGACATCAGTGAAGAGTTCGTCGAGATCATGTGTGCCTTTCACTCTCAATGATTCAGCCTGTTGCATCGCCATCATTGACTCAGGCGGGAAAGAGGCCGGTGAGGAGACGTGATCCTGGAAATAGAAATTTAATTGGAAACTGCTGAAGGATCAGAAGATCGGTAACCCAGTCCAGTACAGTAACCCAGTCCAGTACCAAACCCAGTCCAGTACCAAACCCAGTCCAGTAACCCAACCCAAACAACGAGATCTCGATCGGGTTACGGTAGCTGGAGTGCTTTTCTTGATTACTTACCGCCAAGTGTTTCGGTGAGAGGAAGTGTCGCTCAAGACCGATCCCCGGGGCAACCTGAAATCTCATATTATAAAGGCTTCGAATAAAGGCTGTACGCATCGAACTACCCCCTTTTTAGGCTACCGTAATCTAAAGAACTACAGTAGTCTAAAAAGCTATAATATCTTTCCCTTTTACTACCTCGGAAGCAGTTTGTTCGACAAGATTGACGACATCTTCTAAGAAATAGAAACACGAGGTGGCTCGTTCGGAAGGACCGCGCACACAAACCTCCACAGCGTCTCCATGTAATCTAAAAGCATATAAATAGCCTGCGAAGACCGTATCCCAAATTTCTCTAAGCCTTTTCACTCACCGAATAAGCGCCTCCATTTGTCCAGAGCTCATCTTGCTGCAGCCAGCCCATTGCACTAAATCAGCGTCCATTGGATCTTGAAAATCGTGCATTGAGCGCCGGAGAGCCACCTGAGAATTCATTTTTTGTCTTCAACCATCAGAATAGTTCAGAAAGGCTTGGGCTTGGACTACAGTATGCCAAAATATATCTACAAGAATTGTATCTACTGTTTCTCACCTGTATCCTCGGGAAAGTGCTTTGCAGTGATCTTTCCATTCCTCTCATCGGCAACACTCTCACCCCTCCATAGACATACGTCGGTTTGTCCTTCATCCAAACATCTTTCGGTGGCTCTAGTAGAATGAAAGCCGGGAATTCGAAAGTGTTATCATCTTCGGAGTCGAGTGGAGCACACAATTGGAGAGTGTCGAGGATGTGGAGGAGATCGGCCGGCTCGGTGATCTCGGGGAAGATCGGAGCGAAATGCGCTAGGGAGTAGCAGCCGGTGATGCGACATCTGAAAATGGGATACTGTATCTGTGAGAAATAATGGAATGGAATATTGTAATAAGAAGGACTATAGTAGCTTCAAGTATTATGCATACAGTCCCTACAGTATCTACAGCATTTACAGCATCTACAGTCTCTCCAGTATCTACAGTACCTACAGTCCCCACAGTCTCTACAGCATCTACAGTCTCTACAGTACCCACAGTCTCTACAGTCTCTACAGTCTCTACAGTACCCACAGTCTCTACAGTCTCTACAGTACCTACAGCCTCTACAGTATCCCCAGTCTCTACAGTATCCCCAGTCTCTACAGTTCTCTTTTAAAGTACGGTAGCTTTTGCTTTTAAAAAACTCTCACCTTGACAAGAACTCAGCTGATAGAAGTTGCCCAATCACGTGCGTACCCAACCACTCCGGATTCAACACGACATAGTCGAGCTCTGCCGTCTCATCTCGCAGATAAACCACTTCGCCGATCAATTGCAATTGCTGGATGAGTTGCCGACAATGCGAGTCTCCACTCAATGGATTGATCTCATTGCGGACGATTGCCGAGAAATGAGGCCATGTAACAACAGGGAAATGGGAGTGCTGTTTCCGGAGGGATTGCAGCGATTGCACGGTGGCATCGAGAAGGCCAAGGGGTTTCTAGAGTCGAAGATTGATCAGTAACAGAAATTTGGAAATTGGGATAGGCAAGGGAATGCCAGGCAAAGCCAGTACCTAGCTCATTCAGAAGGATAACTCGTTTACTAGAGAACTTTTCCAACTTAGCATCGAGTTAAGCCTGGCATCGGATTCTATGCAAAATTCTGAGCAAAACCAAAGTTGATAATCGTCTTTTTATTGCGTATAGGCTTAATTGACTCTTTTTAAATATTGACTATATTTTAACCTTTAAAATTGACTCTTTTTGTTTATAAAAAAAGGCTTAAATCTAAAAGAAAGCATCCCAATGTTGTTTACAGAAAAAGAAAAGATTTTGGTCGAGAGAGGATCCGAACCCTCGAGGAACAACTTTGTAGTCGAGCAGACTATCCTCTAGGCCAACTGGTCATTTGCGGGGGACGACAAGGGAAGGCATAAGTCTTCCCTAATCGAGTTTCGCAATCAATTTTCAACAATTTTTAAAACGTGCTTTTCCATGGATTAAATGGCTGATTGGATTGTTTTTAAAAGAAAGGTTTGCTCAGAATTTTGCGTAGAATCCGATTTTCGATCTGGTAGACTCGATCTCGTAGACTAGATCTCGTAGACTAGATCTGGTAGACTAGATCTGGTAGACTCGATCTGGTAGACTAGATCTCGTAGACTAGATCTCGTAGACTAGATCTCGTAGCTTAATTCAATGCTAATTTCAAACAATTCCCTAGTTCCTAGTTAAAAGGATTCCTTTTAATCCTTTTAACTAGGAACTAGCAAATAGCAACGTAAAACTAGCCTAGTTTTCGATCACCGTTTACCTGTAATCTAGACAAGATTGAAGTGCGTGATTCGGTGAGATATTTACGCAAAGCTTTCATCCCAGCGCAAGACGGATTCGTCGAATCCAAAAGGATTAGCCTAAAGATAGGGAAATGCATTTTGAAGCTTCAATATTTCATAATGGGTTGGTGAATTGAAAACTGCCGGCTATTGTCATATGTCCCTTTTTGAGCACTTTCTTCAAAAGAAACCCATTCTGGTGTCAATGGAAAAGTTGTAGAGAATCAAAAATCAAGCTTATATCCAAATTTTCAGAACGATTCAAAAACTAGTTTTCAAGAAATGCCAAATTTACGAATTTTCACAAAACTTGCAACAAAATTTGCTTTTTAAGCGAAACTACTAAGTGTATCTTTTTGGAAATTTCGCTATAAGCCTAATTTTTGATTCTCTACAACTTTTCTATTGACACCAAAATGGGTTTCTTTTGAAGAAATACCGTTAGCGTTCCAGGACGGTTCCTATTTTGATCTAATACGGTTCTTTTTTGATCTAATACGGTTCCAATACGGTGCTCAAACTCCAACTCCAACTGGACATCTCCAGTCCTTCAGTCTTCAGTCTTGAGTCTCACACTTGTACTGGGAGTTCCTGGATAGCGAGACGACCGTTAATGCAATCAAATACAGTGAACAGTTGGGAAAGGTGAATGAATCCCTAAAGAAGAATAGACCCCTCCAAGTCAAAGATCGTTCTCATCCACGAAAACGCGCGCCCTCATGTTGCAAAACTGACTCGCTCTAAAATAAATAGCCTTGTTTGGGGAAATTTTGTCGCATTCCCCATACAGTCGCCCCTTTGATTACTATTTATTATTCCAATTATTCCGGATCATGAGTAATGGTCCGGAATGCGGGAGAACACTTCGATTCGGAAGAAGTAGTCAAAAATTGGCTTTGAAAGTTTTTCGATTCAAAGCCAAAATCCTACTACGAAAGAGGAATCCGCAAATTGCCTGTAAAATGGGCAGAGGAATTGCCTATAAAATGAGCAGAAGTCGTCAATAATAATGGAAATTATTTGGAATGAATTGATGGCTTTATGTTGAATAAATTTTAGTTCAAAGTCTGACCGTTTTCTGACTGACTCACAAATTGGTTTCATTTCTTTTTACAAATGATAAAAAGGATGATTTTCTATGCAGAATTTCTTTATACAAATTGTAGAATACTTTTAAGATTTTTATTAGCAGGCCTAGAAGCTTAGAAATTAAGCTTAAAAGAAATCTACAGCAATCTACAGCTTTTCATAAACTGGATTAAATTTTAGTTCAAACTCCGGCAGTTTTCAATTCACCAACTCAATAGTTTAAAGTTTAAAGTTCAAAGGGAAACTGGAAACTGCCTACTTGTCATAGATATCGAAATGTGTCTCGAATCGGAGTCGAACCGTTTTCAGCATTGCTTCAGTGTCCGATGATTGGTATTCACCGTCGAAATTCTTTAATGGGAATTGCTGATTCGTCGCGTGACTGCCAACGATGACGACTTTTGAGCGACGAGAAATGATCCCACAATGACCAATCGGTTCACTTGGCGTCACTCGACCTTTCAAGAAATTCATCCAATACAGCACTTGCTTGTACTGGATCTCAGTCGAATCAGTTGCCTAAAATCATCAAAAGATCATGACAAAAGCGATATTGAAAAGAAAATCGTTAACTAGAACTTACTTTGTACAAGATCACATGCACACAGTCAGTGTTGCCAACAAAATGATCGTAAGCCATGTGATAAGGCTCGTATCCTCCAAATTCCCACACTGAGAACTCTCCACAGCCTAAAATGAGACAATAACAACAATTGTAGACTTCTTTTCTGACTCAATTCGATCAATTTGATCAATTTCAATCGATCAATTGATCAATTGACCACTTTCAATCGACCAATTGATCAATTTCATTTGATCAATCAACTCACCATGTGCATTGATCGTTTGTACATCGATTCCGCGTGTGTAATTCCCGTGCAATGGTTTATGAGCTGCATTTGACCATTGCTCGCTCGCGTTATTGTTCGCTTCCGAAGAGAAAGAGCTGCCTTGACCCGAGTGGAGGCCCTCGTCTGCAAAAGAAAGATACCTAGTACAATGAAATATTCTACCTTTTGCCGCGATATTGTCCGAAAATCTTCTTGACACCGCATCGATGAAAGAGCCGATTCCCCGGGTTGACGCGAGAGCCTAGAAGCTTCATTAGTTCTGGTTACGATAAAAACAGGCTATGGGGATTTGTTTGAGGTTAGGGTAAGGCTTAGGTAGGCTTTGACTTAGGCTGGCTTAGATAGGCTTTGACTTAGGCTGGCTTAGGTAGGCTTTGATTTAGGCTGGCTTCGGTAGGCTTTGGTTTAAGCTTAGGTCTAGGTCTAGGCTTAGGTTTAGACTTAAGCTGGCTTAGGCAGGCTTTGGTTTAGGCTGACTCAGACTTAGGCTGGTCTAGACTGGTCTAGACTGGTCTAGGCTGGCTTAGGTTGGTCTAGGTTGGCTTAGGCTGGCTTAGGCTTAGACTAGCTTTGGCTGGGTTAGGCTTAGGCTGGCCTAAGCTGGCTTGGGTTGACCTAGGCTGGCTTAGACTTAGACTGGCTTGGGCTTGGGCAGATTTTAAAGCTATCTACCAGTCAAAACAAACCTGTACAAGCCTCGTTTTCCCACTCGTCGAATGCCCAAACATTTTCAGCTTTATTCGTCGCAACGGAACATCCAACGAGCACAATTGCTCCACGTAGAGTTCTCTAAAAGATTTTAGATATAGAAAAGAAAGAAAAAGAGGTTCTAAAGCTTATAAACCATAAGTTTCTAAAGCTCATAAACCATAAGTTTCTAAAGAAAATTCCCTACCGTGTCGCTTCGTTTTTCATCTTTCCCAACAATGATCCAACGTGTGTATGCTCTTGTGCCAAAGCAATGATCTCAGCCGTCAGTCCGTCCTAAAATCAATCAGAAATCAATCAGAAATCAATCAGAATCAATCAGAAATCAATCAAAACCCTAATATTTATTAGAAAATAGGTTTCAATTTAAATCTATCATTGTAAAAACTCTGTTCAAAAGCGGAAACGACTGTTCTTTAATTCATTTCTACTTTTCTTTGCTTCATTTTCTCATTTCTTTAAAGAATTTAGTGTAAAAAGTGATGAATTTACATTTTTAAGCACAAAGTAAACTAAATGATAAATGAAATTGATAAAATGCAAACCTTTGTCTTTTTGTTGATCGAAGCTCGAGCCAAACAAAGCACTCGCACCACCTCGATGTGGCCTTCTTTCGCGGCCACGTGCAGCGGAGACAATGATGCCTGGAAAAAGGAAAATTTAATAAAAATTAGATAAAAGATCTCAGAAAAGAAAGAGAATTATCGAAAATTACTTAAAATTGGTAAAAATTCAATAAAATTCAATAGAAACGATCAAATTCGTCAATTCTTCATCACTTTTGACAGCATGACTCATCAAAAACTCTCTCTTTCGTTGCGGTGGCTAATTTGCGCAACTGAGTCATTTGAGAAACTAGCTCGTTTGAGCAGCTAGGCCATTTGAGCAACTAGGCGATTTGAGCAGCTAGGCCATTTGAGTAGCTAGGCCATTTGAGCAACTAGGTCACTTGCGCAGCTAGCTCGTTTGCGCAACTAGCTCGTTTGAGCAACTAGGTCATTTGCGCAGCTAGGTCATTTGAGCAACTAGATCATTTGCGCAGCTAGGCCACTTGCGCAGCTAGGCCATTTGAGCAACTAGGTCACTTGCGCAACTAGGTCACTTGCGCAACTAGAACCTTTGCGCAACTCATCATAACTTTCTTCTAAGTTCGCCAATCTTTATGATTTTAGTGTTATTTTATAGATCTCAACAAATGTAACAAAATGACACCAAAATCATAAAGACTAGCAAACTTCGAAGAAAGTTATGATGAGTTGCGCAAAAAAATTGGCTAGAAGTAGGCACCCCCGAAAAAGGCTCTTCCAAACTACAGTCCGTTTCATATTTCTTTATCCACCCCCCAAAAAGAGGTTTTATGGAGAATGGGTGGAGATATCGAGCTATTTTCTTTTGCAATAGAAAGACCATATTGTAAAACCCTAAAAACACCGTTTTTGGGTTACTGGATTTTCTCAACAAAAAAAAAACTAAGAAAGAAGATTCTGCGACCGTTTCACATTTCTTTATCCACCCTTAGGAACTTTGAAAATCAACATTTATTTAGCATTAACAACAAATAAAAGAGACATCAAGAATTGTGAAGATAACAACTAACAATCTAACATAGCATCGGACCGATTAATAACTTGATAGATTCGCTTATTCATACTTTTGATAAGGTTTTGGAGAGCCGTGGCGTCAATACGATTCCAGGCAATCTGAATTGATGCTTTTAGTTCCGAAACGGTCGTAAATTGTCTCTTATGTTTGTAAACATTCCTGACAAGGATGCCCCACAGGTTTTCAATGGGGTTAAGATCCGGGGATCGTGCTGGCCAGTCCAAGATGTTGATTCCCTGCGCAGTCAACCAGACTTTTGTATGAGCGGAGCGATGAATTGAAGCATTGTCATGCTGAAAAGTGTAGGCAGTCGCGACATTTTGCTGAACGAATGGCAGAAGAGTATCTTTGAGCACTTCAGTATAATCTTGACTGTTCATTTTGCTGGAGACAAATTTCAAAGCGACCGTTCCATTGGCGCAAAAGGCTGCCCAACACATCACACTTCCTCCTCCGTAGTTACGTGTTCCGAATATCAGTGGATGCTGTCGCAGGTCTCTCCAGTAATGCGAAACACCGTCTGGTCCGTCAAGATTCCATTTTTTTCATCAGAAAAGATTACCTAAATAAAAACCGTTATTTCAGAGTACGGCATTTCCCAACCTTGCTCCAATCAAAGTTCATATGCTTTGCGGCAAAGTCTAGACGGGCTTTCTTGTGCTCTTGCTTTAAGGCAGGCTGTTGATTTAGGCGTTCACGATCGATATGATATTTCTTTGACGGCACGCCAGATAGTTGTCTTAGAAGCATCGATTTTCAGCTCATTTTTGACCTCATTGATAGACTTTCCATGAATTGAATTCACAATGTGGCGCTTAGCTCGAGATGTAAGCTGAGGTTTGGGCCCAGTCTTCTTTTTAGGAGTGGTCACGTTCTTGTTCTTTAAATAACGTCGAATGCAATTGTGATTGCGGCCCAACAGCTTTGCGATTTCTCGAATGCCCTTCTTGTCGATCATGTAGGCATCGATCTGTCTCTTCTCGTAATCGGAAAGCACTTTCCAACGTCCCATTTCCCAAAATGACAACAAATGATTACAAAATATAAAAAAAAATTTAAGAAAAGCAAAAAAATGAATAGTAACATCAAATAAGCGTTGATTTTCAAAGTTTCTAAGGGTGGATAAAGAAATGTGAAACGGTCGCAGAATCTTCTTTCTTAGTTTTTTTTTGTTGAGAAAATCCAGTAACCCAAAAACGGTGTTTTTAGGGTTTTACAATATGGTCTTTCTATTGCAAAAGAAAATAGCTCGATATCTCCACCCATTCTCCATAAAACCTCTTTTTGGGGGGTGGATAAAGAAATATGAAACGGACTGTAATTTGATGATGGACAAATGATTTTGAAAGTTAGTTGAATGTCATAAAAAGGTTTTAAAAGCTAGCTGAATATCCTAAAATGATTTTGACGGTTAGCTGAGTATCAAAATGATTTAAAAGTTAGCTGAATGTCATAAAAAGGTTTTAAACGTTAGCTGAGTATCTTAAAATGATTTTAAAGTTAGCTGGGGATCTTAAAATGATTCTGGCAGTTAGCTGGGGATCTTAAAATGATTCTGGCAGTTAGCTGGGGATCTTAAAATGATTCTGGCAGTTAGCTGGGGATCTTAAAATGATTCTGGCAGTTAGCTGGGGATCTTAAAATGATTCTGGCAGTTAGCTGGGGATCTTAAAATGATTCTGGCAGTTAGCTGGGGATCTTAAAATGATTCTGGCAGTTAGCTGGGGATCTTAAAATGATTCTGGAACTCAGCTGAGTATCTTAAAATGTTTTTAAAAGCTAGCTGAGTATCTTTTAAAAAAATTCCAAATCCAATGATAACAATTGAGAAAAAATCCATTGGAAAACAGAAAACTGAAAGAATTTTTTCTTTCAGTTTTCTCAAAGAATTTTTTGTTTCAGCGTGATAAAGGATCGTAAATCGTTTCTGGCTTTACTTTGGGCTTAGATTTGTAAAGCCATTCTTTTTGTAGCACTGTTCTCTATTTTTGAGATGAAGCATGAAGAAAAGAGTGAGAAATGAAGAATTCATTGCATGAAAAAGGTTTGTTTTCTAAATTGGAAGGACAGTGAGGGGCCTAGAAGGACAGTGAGGAGCCTAGAAGGACAAGAGGCTGTGAGGCTCTCGCTTGGAGTCCTCCCTTTCCCTTTCACTCATTTGTAATCTATTCGTCTTATTGTACTACTGTAAATAAAGATATATATCTTCTTGCAACTGCAGTTCAGATCGATCATTTCACAGGGATTCCCCTCAAATACGTTGGAGGAGTTGTGTTGGATTGTCGGGGTGTTAGAGATGACAGGATATCAAAAGGGATCTCTTTAACTTAACTCAAATTCTAGTCCATATCCGTCTACACCTAGGAACGAATAAAAGATAAAAGTATTGTAATGAAACTAGGCTGTAAACTAAGCTGTAAACTAGTCTGTAAACTAGGCTGTAAAGGCTGTAAACTAAGCTGTAAAGGCTGTAAACTAGGCTGTAAACTAAGCTGTAAACTAGGCTGTAAACTAGTCTGTAAACTAGGCTGTAAACTAAGCTGTAAACTAGGCTGTAAAGGCTGTAAACTAAGCTGTAAACTAGGCTGTAAACTAGTCTGTAAACTAGGCTGTAAACTAGGCTGTAAACTAGGCTAAAAAACTGTAACTTTTAACAGATCGTAGAGCTAAAAAAACGATCGAAATGGGAAACGATTTTCGTCAATCGACGCTATTTTCTCATGTTCTTTTCGAGAAAATCGTGTCTCTTTTCTGTATTTGCGAGTCAGTCAGTCTTTCTCTTTCTTTCTCTTTCTTTCTCTATCTTCCTTTCTTTCTCTATCTTCCTTTCTTTCTTCCTCTTCCCCTTTCTACCCTTTTCTATCTCTTTTTCTGTGTCAATCGTTCAAAATGAACTCAGCAATGCGAAAAAAAAAGAACCGCAAAGCAATTTCACCTCGCTTGTACACAAAAGAATGCCTTTACCTTTTGAAAATGTTTTTATAGACTTCTTTTTTTTGAAAGAAATACATTTAAAGCCTTTTGTAAGAGATTTGATTGAATCTTTATATTATAAATGTTTAAAAATCGAGAAAATAGAGAAATCTCTGCTCTTTTTGAGTTTCTAAATTTTGAAATGAGTCGTCATGCTTTGAAAGCCTATAACTTTTCTCAAAAAGAACTTTATTTAGATCTTTTTATATCATTGAATAGAGGAGATTTTAGGCTTTCGAATGATATTAAAAAGAGTTTAATTGGATAATCCAGTCCAGAAAAATCAGCCGACAAAGTATCGAGTTAGGAAAAAGAGAGAAATATTGGAATCAAATGGACTCAACACCTTTTGAAGCCCCATAACTTTGTTTAAAGCTAATATTATTCAGATCTTTTTATATCATTAGATAGAGAACATTTCAGGCTTTCGAATGACATTAAATACAGATTGATTGGATAATCCAATCCAGAAAAATCAAAGCCAACTCTGACCGATCCAACTCTTAGCAAACCTCTGAGATCCCAACTTTGTCGGCTGATTTTCTTGGACTCAATTATCCAATTAAACTCTTTTTGGTATCATTCGAAAGCCTAAAATGTCCTCTATTCAATGATATAAAAAGATACGAATAGTGTTAGCTCTAAACAAAGTTATAGGCTTTCAACAGAAGGCTTTCAACAGAAGGCTTTCAACTTGGAATCAAATGGACTCAACACCTTTTGAAGCCCCATAACTTTGTTTAAAGCTAATATTATTTAAATCTTTTTATATCATTGGATAGAGGAGATTTTAGGCTTTCGAATGATACAAAATAGAGTTTGATTGGACAATCGAGTCTAAGAAAATCAGAGCCAAGAAGAGATGTGATCTAACTTGAGAGTTTAAGCTTAACAAAGCTGGGCTTAGGCTTAGGCTTAGATAGCTACCGTATAGCTTACGATAGCTTAGAATGGCTAGAGTAGTATGCTCATATACGATAGTTAATCAAAAAGACTGGGTACGGTACCTTGGTTACCTTTTGTGGATGGTTCAGTTTAGGGATCGCGATTTCTTAAAGATCGCGAACGAAAGAAACGAAACGAGAAGGTTTATTAGGCTCTAGGTAAGCCTAATAAGCTAGTAAGCTAGTAAGCTAATAGCTAATAGCTAATAGCTAATAGCTAATAGCTAATAAGCTAATAGCTAATAAGCTAATAGCTAATAGCTAATAGCTAATAGCTAATAAGCTAATAAGCTAATAAGCTAATAAGCTAATAAAGGCTAATAGATAAAATGAACATATTGTTGCCTTTGTTTTAATGAACAATAAAGTGAACATACATTGTTTGACACATCGACCTCAACACCACAATGGCAGAGAGTCTGCACGGCGGACAGTAAACCGGATCGGGCAGCCAAGTGGAGAGCTGTGTCGCCGGACTGAAAAAAAATGAGATTTGTGAGAATGAGCTTGGGAATGAGACTCGCAAATTCACTCATAGGAAATTGCGGTAGACAATTCTTGTAATGGATTGGTTAGAGTTGAAGGCAAGATGTAATGGATTGGTTAGAGTTGAAGGCAAGCTTTGGAAACACTCAAGATTTAGAGTCATTCCTTGGTAGATCATGATTTCAAGTATTCCCTTTGATCAATACGCCTCAACCGTATGCATAACCGTATGCTCAAAGCTCAACCGTCTAACCGCAACTTTCTAGATTCGATAGATCTTGAGAAGCGAGACTAGAAGTGCGTTTTAAATTTGGAGACGGCTAATGTCTAGAAGCTAGACCAAAATTGGCTCTAAAAAGCCAAAAGAACTAAAACAAAGCTAAGATAAAGCCTAGCTGCCTAGCTGCCTAGCCTAGCCTAGCTGCCTAGCCTAGCTGCCTAGCCTAGCTGCCTAGCCTAGCCTAGCTGCCTTGCCTAGCTGCCTTGCCTACTTTCCAGTACGTCTCCTAGCTTTATAGCCTATCATTCAAAACAAGAGCCCACTTGATCTCTCTCATTGAGACTGCAACCACGAGTGATCAAGAGGAGAGCGATGTCGACATGGCCTCTTCGAAGCGCCAGATGTAGAGCAGTTTGACCGGTCTGAAGAAACGATAAGACTAGTTGGTTTTATGATTTCAGTTGATTTCAAATTTATGGAGTAATCAAAAATCTATGTTACGAAAGAATCCGATTCCACGACAGAATCGCTTTTTGTCTAAGAATCCGACCAAAAGACGATTTGTGACCGGATTCTGTTGATCGGATTCTGATCATCAGATTCTGTTGATCGGACTCTGTTGTCCAGATTCTGCTGTCCAGATTCTGCTGTCCAGATTCTGCTGCTCAGATTCTGCTGCTCAGATTGTGCTGCTCAGATTCTGCTGCTCAGATTCTGCTGTTCAGATTCTGTCGCTCGGCTTCTGTCGTAACATAAATCAACTTTGAAATTACCTGATCTAAAGCATCAACTGGAGCTCCAGCATCAAGGAGACTCGTCACACATTCAAGGTGGCCTCTCGCAGCCGCACAATGAAGTGATGTCTCGTCGTCCTGTATAAGAAAAGAAATAAGCTTTGATTTTAATTTCAAAGTTTTCTTTAATTCAAGCATAGCTTTCAAATCTTTTTCCAAATTTCGACACTTTTTTAGAAAACATTTCAGTTTCAGTTTGAGTTGAGTCCCTTCCAAGCTGTAAAGAAGCTTTAGAGCTTCCAAGCTTTAGAGCTTCCAAGCTTTAAGAGCTTCCAAGCTGTAAGAGCTTCCAAGCTGTAAAGAGCTTCCAAGCTGTAAAGAGCTTCCAAGCTGTAAAGAGCTTCCAAGCTGTAAAGAGCTTCCAAGCTGTAAAGAGCTTGTCTAAATCGTTCTTTTCCTTCTTATTTGCATATAAATTGTGTCATTTGTCACAAATTTTGATGTGAGAGTCTTTGGAGAAAAAAAAGGATCGAATAGGAGTCGGGGGGAATGGGGAATGAGCTTATGCATTTACAATTTTTGGGTTTTATTCTTAAAATCTATGGTGATCTTTACAAATAGATGTTAAAGAAAGAAAGAAGGAAGGAAAGAAGGAAGGAAAGAAGGAAAGAAAGAAGGCAGAAAAGAAAGAAAGCTATTTTCCCCATCTTCTCATCATCCTAATCCATTTTCTATTCACCGCCAATCTTAAATCAATAAGTTTATCATAAATTTCTTTAATAAACTTGTACTTTTGTCCAAGTACAAGTACTTGTACTACTTTAAAGTAGTACAAGTACCTTTAAAGTACTTTAAAGTAGTACAAGTACCTTTAAAGTACTTTAAAGTAGTACAAGAACCTTTAAAGTACTTTAAAGTAGTACAAGTACCTTTGAAGTACTTTAAAGTAGTACAAGAACCTTTAAAGTACTTTAAAGTAGTACAAGTACCTTTAAAGTACTTTAAAGTAGTACAAGTACCTTTAAAGTACTTTAAAGTAGTACAAGTACCTTTAAAGTACTTTAAAGTAGTACAAGAACCTTTAAAGTACTTTAAAGTAGTACAAGTACCTTTAAAGTACTTTAAAGTAGTACAAGAACCTTTAAAGTACTTTAAAGTACTACTTTGACTACTTTAAAGTACTTTAAAGTACTACTTTAACTACTTTAAAGTAGTAAAACTAGTTTAAAATCCTTTAAAGTACTTTAAACTTTTCATAAAGCTCATCTAATCCTCCAAAATTGAACAATTTTCACACAAAAACCGGTCGGATTTGGTGAAAATGAATGAATTGAAACTTTTGAAAAGATCAGTCAAAGATTAAAGAGAAAAATAGTTAAAAGACAAGCTAAGCAAGGCTAAGCAAGGCTAAGCTAGACTAAGCAAGTCTAAGCAAGTCTAAGCAAGGCTAAGGTAGGCTAAGCAAGGCTAAGCTAAGCCTTCTTATCAAATGACTTAGAATTTAGCTGTATTTAACCGTACTTAGCATTTAACAGCACTTAGAACTTATCTGTACTTAGCAGTTAACCGTACTTAGCAGTTAACCGTACTTAGTTTAGCCGCATACTTCATAACCATCTAGTCAATTTCATAATCGAGTCTTCCCTCTCAAATCGATATCTGGGGGAAAAGAGGATATTTGTTTGGAGAAGAGGGAACAGGGACCGAATTTCATGCCTGAATACATAACTCCCAACACAATACACATTCACACATTTTGGGGAATAGCTAGTGATGCTTTGTCCTAGAGAAAAGATGCTAAGTATTGCATAGGATTGTAGGAAGATGTCTATAGGATCTATAGAAGTAGTAGGCTCACTGTAGGATCTATAGAAGTAGTAGGCTAACTATAGAATACTTTTGAAGCTCTATTTCTGAAGCCTTTCAATTCTCGAATCGATCTGGTTACCAGGGCAATAGGCTAATCAGATAGACTCTTAGAAAAAACATTTTCTTTTAGATAAATAAGTTCTGGATGGGGTTTAAAAGAAAAGGAAGGAAATGAAGAAAGAAAGAAGAAAGAATGAAGAAAGAAATCAATCCAGAATTAAAGCTCTTGTCCATTGAGAAAAGATAAGAGCAACGATTGATGGAGATGAGAGTAATGACAATAATCTAATGATTAGATTAATGATTAGCTCTAATGATTAGATCTAATGATTAGATCTAATGATTAGATCTAATGATTAATCTAATGATGATAAAGATAATACAATATAACATTTGATACTTATTTACCCCACAACAGAGCGGCTCTTCGTTATCAAAAGCTCGATGCATATCGGAGACCATCGCGATGAAAGTTGAAGTTGATGGATAGGGGTTCTTGAAATGGCAATACTGGGGAAAAGTTGTTCATAAACGTCACTCAGAATACAAGGAAAGGGCAATAGTCAGCTAGAGCTACCAGGCAAAGTCTAAGCTAGCTCCAGAATCGATTTAAACAGTCAGCTACCAGCTAGAGCTACCAGCTAGAGCTACACAGGGGGGGGGGCCGGGGGGCCCCGGGGGGCCCGGGGGGGGCCGGGGGGGGGGGGGGGGGGGGGGGGGGGGGGCGGGGGGCCAGCCAGCCAGCCAACCAGCCAGCCAGCCAGCCAGCCAGCCAGCCAGCCAGCCAGCCAGCCAGCCAGCCAGCCAGCCAGCCAGCCAGCCAGCCAGCCAGCCAGCCAGCCAGCCAGCCAGCCACCCAGCCAGCCAGCCAACCAGCCAACCAGCCAACCAGCCAACCAGCCAAGCCAAGCCATGCTTAGAAAATCAGTTGTTATAGCTATACTTATAAATCTAGCTTTATCTGATTCAAATCTTGCCCCTAATTAGTTTCTAGGCTAGCTAGAGCCTTGTTTAGGCTAGCCAGAGCCATGTTTGAGCTCTGGAGGATCAGCTCTGGCTTTATTTTATCCTCTGCCAGATCAGCTTTGAACTTTCGATGACGCTTTCATTTCATTTCAAAGCAGTGAACGTTAATTTCTATTCCTAGTCCAAGAAACAGAGAAAACAATGCTGAAACTAGATTTGCCTTGGAATTTCCCAGCTTATGAACAACTTTTTCTACTAGTTTAACAAGAACACCAATGACAACCTTGAGCGGCGCGTACAGCGAAGAGACATGATCAGCGGCACGAGGTCGTGGTGAGTCATTGGGTAAAGGAAACGGTGAAATTGGGCTTGTTTTGAGTTCAGAATCAAAATCTTGATCAACTCCATTGATCGTTAAGAGATTGAGACTTCGGGCAGCTGGGTTGATGATCGGATCGGACAAATACGCGGCCATTACTGATCCATGCAAGGGGATCTGCAAGGGGATGGAGGCTCTCTGAGAATCGTTGCTAGGCAATAGCTGAAAGCTGGAACGATGCCCAGCCTCAAATCGGCTCAAGCTCTCTTCTGAGCTCTCTTCTGAGCTCTCTTCTGAGCTCTCTCCCAATTCTTCATCCAAACTTTCATTGATATTCATTTCTCGAATTGTTTCCCGATCATCGTCTGATTCTTCGCTCATTTCTTTTCTCAATATCACATAATAAACAAAATATTTATAGATTTCAGAAGTATTTTATAGTTTATATATTAATAAACAGTAAAATGAATAAAGAATTTTTAAAAGTTGTTCACGAATAGCGATAATTCAGCATTCATCCCAATAAACAAGTAGAACAGAAAAAGGGAAAGAGATTGTGAAAGAGGAAATGGAAAGGTGATGAGGAGGGGAAAGAGGAAGGGAAAGAGGAGGGAAAGAGGAGGGAAAGGGGCGGGGCTTCGGTTGGGAGAAGTCGGTTGTCCCCAGTCAGTTGGGTTGTTCTAAAAGCAATGATCGAGCCAGGACTAGGCCACGTCGAATCGGGTGATGCAATAAAGGTCATCAAAGCAGGCTTTGTTTATTAATCTAGCTTTAGTCATAAAAATTCTGATCAGGGCTGGCTTCTGGGTTTTTTGGCTGACTTCTAACCTTGTTTAGCTGACTTCTAGCCTTGTTTAGCTGGTTTCTAGCCTTCTTGACTGACTTCTGGCCTTCTTGACTGACTTCTGGCCTTGTTTAGCTGGTTTCTAGCCTTCTTGACTGACTTCTGGCCTTCTTAGCTGGTTTCTAGCCTTGTTTAGCTGGTTTCTAGCCTTCTTGACTGACTTCTGGCCTTCTTAGCTGACTTCTAGCCTTGTTTAGCTGGTTTCTAGCCTTCTTGACTGACTTCTGGCCTTCTTAGCTGACTTCTAGCCTTGTTTAGCTGGTTTCTAGCCTTCTTGACTGACTTCTGGCCTTCTTAGCTGACTTCTAGCCTTGTTTAGCTGGTTTCTAGCCTTCTTGACTGACTTCTGGCCTTCTTAGCTGACTTCTAGCCTTGTTTAGCTGACTTCTAGCCTTCTTGACTGACTTCTGGCCTTCTTAGCTGACTTCTAGCCTTGTTTAGCTGACTTCTAGCCTTCTTGACTGACTTCTGGCCTTCTTAGCTGACTTCTAGCCTTGTTTAGCTGACTTCTAGCCTTCTTGACTGCCTTCTGGCCTTACTTGGGTCCTTATCGGTTCAAAAAAAGTGTAAATGCACAAAAGATGATTCAAAAGCTACATTTCGTCTAGTTTTCTTTGTTTCCTCTTTCGAGTAGCTTTTTCAAAAGTTTCAAAAGGATCATGTAACAGCTGTTGGTCAAAGTGCCTTTCAACTCGTTTTTTGAAAGTTTTCAAGCAGTTTTAAAGCAGTTTTCAACAATTTTTTCATTTACAACTTGTTATGACTATAGAAAAATAAGTGAAACTATAGAAAATTAAGTGAAAACTCTTTTTAAATCGTTTGGGAACTGTTTAAATCGTTTGGGAACTGTTTAAATCGTTTGGGGACTGTTTAAACCCGTTTGGGGACTGTTTAAACTCGTTTGGGGACTGTTTAAATTGTTTGGGGACTGTTTAAATCGTTTGGGGACTGTTTAAATCGTTTGGGGACTGTTTAAACCCGTTTAAGGACTGTTTAAATCGTTTGGGAACTGTTTAAACCCGTTTGGGGACTGTTTAAACCCGTTTGGGAACTGTTTAAATCGTTTGGGGACTGTTTAAACCCGTTTGGGGACTGTTTAAATCGTTTGGGGACTGTTTAAACCCGTTTAGGGACTGTTTAAACCCGTTTGGGGACTGTTTAAACCCCTTTGGGGACTGTTTAAATCGTTTGGGGACTGTTTAAACCCGTTTGGGGACTGTTTAAACTCGTTTGGGAACTGTTTAAATCGTTTGGGGACTGTTTAAACTCGTTTGGGGGCTGTTTAAATCGTTTGGGGACTGTTTAAACCCGTTTGGGAACTGTTTAAACCCGTTGCTCAAGCGCTATAAGCTAAAGTTATAGCCAGAAGCTTGGCGATAACCTTCGCTATTAAATCACTATTAAATCGCTATTAAATCTCTCTTAAATCCAATTTCTAGGCTTTAAATGATATATAATATAATTGAATTCAAATTTAATCAAATCCGTATCCAGTTCTAGACTTTTTCTTGGTTCAAGTGACACTTTTCTGAGAATTTATTTGACTCAAGGGAATACCGAAAGATGAGAGCAAAAAAGAGTTGGAATTTGGTGAATTGTATGGAAATTTTGGGAATTTGGGGAACTTGGGGAATTTGGAAAGCTTCATTAAAGCCTAAAATAGCTAGCTAGCTAGCTAAAATAGCTAGCTAGCTAAAATAGCTAGCTTGTCTAAAATAGCCATCTATTCTTTCATAAAACCAACCTTATTCCTGAGTTTTAATGGAGGACCGTAGGCGCAAAGAATCGACAACAACAGCGCGTAGCCATGCCAAGCGGCGATGTGCAACGGAGTCTCGCCTTGCTGAAAAGTTAACGAAATAAGAAATTTCAGAAAATCTCCAAAATGGTCTTCTTATATACTTCTTATAGCTACATTGAACATTTATTTTTCAAAGCTAGGAGAAAGAGGGCGAGGAACGACTTCAGTTGGACTCGGTCGCTGTTTTCACATTTGCTTGCCCTGAATTTGTTCTTCGCCCTCTTTCTCCTACTTTCAACGACAAAAATTGTTTTAGATGGCTTTACTTTAGGAAACTACATCAAATTGGCTACAAAATGAGCTATTAGGCAAGTTTTTTGGCTGAGTAGAAAATTTTTTATAGCCATTTTTGAACCTAAACTTTGGGGGCTCAAAAAAAATTTTCTACTAAACCAAATGAGCTAATTTCAAAAATTTATTATAAAATATATGTATTATGAACATTTTTTATGTTGGTGACTTTTTGATTGGATGCCCGGAAATACCCTCATTCGTTAAGCCTAAGTCTAAGCCTAGCCTAAGCCTAGCCTAAGCCTAGCCTAAGCCTAGCCTAAGCCTAACCTAAGCCTAGCCTAAGCCTAGCCTAAGCCTTCAAATACCGGCCAAAATCCAGCTCCAAATCCAGCTAATCCTATTTTTTCTAATTTTACATCTTTACACAACTATAGGCCCAACAAATGATTGTTTTCCTTAAAAGTTAAACTATTAGGCTGTTCAGAAAGTCTTTTTGTTTCTTTTCGAGCAAACCATAATCAATTAGTGATTGGTTAATTCGTTATTGATTCGTTGCTAGCAGCAATTAATTTAAAAAACGTTTTTTCTTAAAAAACAAGCTTTTTTTCAACGAAAGTATGAAAAGGAACGAAAAGACTTTATGAACAGTTTAATACTTTATAGGGATTCTAGTATTTGACGTTTAGATCAATGAAAGTGATATCCAGATTAGACATTTTGATGGGAATTGAGCAATTCTGAGGCACTAGAAGGCTTGAATTGCCCTAGTCTTGTAGTGTCTAGTTTGAGTGTGTCTAACTTGAAAGGAAATCGATTATTTGACGTTACCGGCAACTAAAGTGATATCCAGCTTCGACATTTTTATGGGAATTGAGCAATTCTGATGCATTAGATGGCTTAAATTGCTCCAATCTTGTAGTGGCTAGTTTGAGTGTATCTAACTTGTAAGGAAATCGAGCATTGAACGTTTAAATCAACTAAAGTGATATCCAGCTTAGACAGTTCGGGGCTAATTGAGCAATTCTGATGCACTAGAAGGCTTGAATTGCGCCAATCTTGGGTGAAATTGGTGGTGAATTGGTGAATTTGTTTTTTTTTCAAAAGAAAGTACCGAAAAGGAAGGAAAAGGCTTTCTGGAAAGCCTAATATAGTTAGATTATATCTGTCATTGTATCATGTCTATCATATAATCCATTCTCTATTGCAAACTCAAACTGTTTGCAAACTCACTCCATCTTGCAAGTGTTGATCTGCTCCTCGAGCGAGTAATGCTTGCACGACGTCCATTTGCACGTATCGAGTAGCGACATGGAGTGGCGTCTCACCGGACTAAAGTAGAGCAAAGTTAGCTATTAAAAGTCACAGTTGGACATTATCGGGTTGGACATCGCTTTGAAAAGCGCCTATCGCTTTGAAAAGCGCTTATCGCTTTCTGTGAAAGTTATTAGAGCTTTTAAAAAGGTTTTCTAAAGATTTCTAAAGATTTCTAAAGATTCTAAAGATTAAATTATTTTAAACGGGTCAAATCTTGTCTAAGATTACGGTAGTTTTTTTAATTTATCACTTTTTTTTTGGTTTTCAAAAGTTAGAGACACTTTTGGAGACGAACCATATTCGCGCAATTCACATCGGCTCCCTCGGAGGCCAAGAGGTTCACAATGTCCGAATGACCGTGACGTGATGCCCACGCAAGAGGGGTATCACCTCTGAAATCTCGATTTTGAATCTTTATCTAATAAGGCCGGACTTTATAGACCGGCCAGACTTTATAGACCGGCCAGACTTTATAGACCGGCCAGACTTTATAGGCCGGCCAGACTTCATAGGCCGGTCAGCCTCCAGGGCAATAAAGAAGTAATTGGCAGAATTGGCAATAAAAGAATTGACAAAAGAAAGAATTTTACCGGGAAGGGGATTGAACCCTCGACCCAGCCTGGAACCTCTGCTTTCCAGACCACTGCTTTAACCACTGAGCTATCCAGGACCTTCGCTTGCGACGAGAAAAATGGAATACAAAGGAGAAGAAGAAGGAAAGAGAGAAAAAAGTAATCCAGAAGTCTGTCAATGGGTTTTTCAGGCTGTTTTTTTTAGAGATCTTTTGTCAGCAAGGCTCAGTGGGGAACAGGTTTTTCTACAGCCCACAGGACCCGGGTTCGACCCCCGGCTTCTACTTAATCTTGTTCTTTTTTTGTTTTAAATGCCATAACTATATTGAGATACTTTGAAGACATTGTTCTTTTATATAGTAGTTCTTATCTAGTAGTTCTTATATAGTAGTTCTTATATAGTAGTTCTTATCTAGTAGTTCTTATCTAGTAGTTCTTATCTAGTAGTTCCTTTATCTAGTAGTTCCTTTATCTAGTGGATCCTTTATCTAGTAGTTCCTTTATCTAGTAGTTCCTTTATCTACTAGTTCCTTTATCTAGTGGATCCTTTATCTAGTAGTTCCTTTATCTACTAGCTCTTTTATATAGCAGACCTTTTGTCAATCGGTGACAGTTCAGCTCCTTTCATATGCAAATAATGAACAAGATCGAGGTGGCCCGAGCCAGCAGCCACGTGAAGTGCCGATTCGCCGAGCTAAATTACCATTTAAGGAATTTTTGACGACAAATTAGCTTATAGCTTAGACAAACCTTATTAGCTGCATTTGGGGCTAAACGATGCAAATTCGAGAGTTGATTCAACCCTTTCAAATTCCCCTCTTCACAAGCGATCAAAATCGCGCTTATCACGAGTTCTTCCTAAAGGGAATTGATTGAAATTGATTGAAGATGATTGAAGATGATTGAATAAGTAGATTTATAAGATTTTTATTGATTTTTGATCTATTTTTATTGGTTTTTGATCGATTTTTATTGATTTTTATTGATTTTTGATCGATTTTGATCTGATTTTTATTGATTTTAATCGATTTTTATTGATTTGGATCTATTTTTAATGATTTTTATTGATTTTAAAGCTTTAAAGCTAAGCTATTGATGATAATAAATCGATTTTTAATAAAGATTATGATGTTTTACGCTTTAGGTAAAGTAATTTACTTTATAAAAAGTCATTTAAATAGTAATTTACTTTATATAAAGTCATTTAAACAATAATAGCTCTTTTTTTCGAGAAAGCTCTTTCTTTTTAAAGTTAAACGATCAATTTTCACCTCAGACATTTCATTTGATCGCTTCTGGAATTGTTTTTTGTTGTTCTTGCTTTTGTTAGAAGCTCGAGAATTGAGATTCACTTCAAAATTGAGATTCACTTCAAGGAATTACAGAAAATCAATTGTTGGGCGAAAAGTGAAAAGGAAACTTGTAAAACAAGTAAATTCTGGCGGAGAAGAGTGGGTAAATAGAATTTTGAAGAATTGAGAGTCTATTGACTTTTCGAAGATCTTGGGAGATCTAGAGATCTAGAGATCTAGAGATCTTGAGATCTAGAGATCTAGAGATCTAGAGATCTAGAGATCTTGAGATCTAGAGATCTAGAGATCTTGAGATCTAGACGGGTTACGGTAAGTTCTAGAGAGGTTGCGGGAAGTTCTAGAGGGATTACGGTAAGTTCAGATGGATTCAAATGGATCAGACGGTAAGCTCAGACAGAATACGGTGAGTTCAGACAGATTACGGTAGCTTGTAGACGGATTACGGTAAGTTCTAGAGAGATTACGGTAAGCTCAGAGGGATTACGGTAAGTTGTAGACAGATTACGGTAGCTTCTAGACAGATTACGGTAAGCTCAGACAGATTACGGTAGCTTCTAGACAGATTACGGTAGCTTCTAGATAGATTACGACAGCCTCAGACAGATTACGGCCACTTCTAGACAGATTACGGTAACTTCTAGACAGATTACGGTCAGTTCAGACGGATTACAGTAAGCTCAGACGGATTACGGTAAGCTCAGATGATTACAGTAGCTTCTAGACAGCTAACGGCCACTTCTAGACGATTTCTTAGCTGATAAACAGTGGAATTCCGAGTAAAAGAGCACAAAACATCAATTTTGTTTGTGAGAAAGTGAGAAAAGGCCCTTTCTTGTGCACAAAAGAGCAATTAAGGGCTGGCAAAATTGGGAGATGATTGAAAAGGAAAAGGTTTTCGAGAGCATTTCTTCAACAACTTCAACAAACTTTTGAAATGCTTTGTGGATCAAAAAAAAAAAGGATCAAAACCAGATTTTCCATAAAATTCTCGAAAAGAAACCTCATTTTTTCGTTGTTCTATTGCAAAAATCTCGAAACCAATGTCAATACTTTAGATCGAAAACTCTAGTTTACAGTAGTTTACCGTAATTTACCGTAATTTACAGTAATTTACAGTAATTTACAGTAATTTACAGTAATTTACTGTAATTTACTGTAATTTACTGTAATTTACTGTAATTTACAGTAATTTCTTCACTTTTTGCTTAAAATTTACTATTTTTGGAGGCAATATTGAAAAAAAAGCTCATTTTTTAGTTTTTTTAGTCAATCTTTTAAAAAAAACCCGTTAAAATTTGAAAGATTTCTTAAGAAAAGTGAAAATGATCAAATTGGGATAGCTGGGAAAGTCTATCGAAAGCAACAAATGAGAAAATGATAGAAAAAGGGAAATCAAGCTTTTTCAGCTTTTTCAATCATTCTTGATCAAGAAAGAAAGAAGGAAGGGAGGAAGGGAGGAAGGAAGACAGGGAGGGAGAAAGAAGGAACCATCAATCTTTTGAAAGCTCATGTACTTTGTGCTCATCGAAACTTCCCTTCTAGTGCACTGAATTCATTTTCATAGAAAGGAAGGAAGGAAGGAAGGAAGGAAGAAAGAAAGAGAAGAAAGCGAAAGCTTATTAACTCATTGGATGCTCCAGAACGAGTGCATTTCTAGCACAAAGTACACTCTAGATCAGTTTTGTGTAAACACAACCCTTCTGGAGCATCCGTTTCACTCTCTACAACAAAATTGAGCAATTGAGTGCAGTAGAAAGAGTGCGTTTACAATTTTGAGCATAAAGCGATTGCCATAGATTCGTTTGCCATTAGAATTTGCCCACAAATGAAACATGAGAGGTTTCGGCGGGAAAAAAAAGAGCTGAAGGATCTCGATAAGATCTCTTTTCGGTATTACACAAAAGAAAGAAAGGCATATTTCATTGAAGAGATGAAAAATGAAAGTCTTTTTTTCTCCATTTCTTGTCATCTACGATTAGGAATTGAGATTTATAGAAGGGAAATTTTAAACGATCAAGTAAAGGAAAGGAAAGGAAATAGCTACTGTAAGTAGTGCAGTACAGTAATCCTTTACAGTAATCCTACAGTAATCCCTACAGTATCCTTTACAGTAATCCCATCCATTTACTATATTATAGTAAAGATTACTGTAACAGTATCTAATTAAAGAAATGAATGGCAAAGAATTTGGCATCAAAGGAATTGAACCCTTGACCTTCCAGCAAAATGTAGCTGATGATGATCTAGTGGAGGATTAGACTCTTGAGCTTCTGCAAGCTTGACTCTTGAGCTCTAGGTGATCAGACTCTTGAGCCAGAAGCTCAAGAGCTCTGCTTGCTCTGCTAGCTTGCCTCTTGAGCTTTTGTAAAAACTTGGAAACCGTTAAATCGTCACCAGGCTCGCCCGGGTGCACTACTATTAGAGAACTGGTGTAACTGGAGTACGATAGATGAGATTCAAGCCTTTACCTTATCAAATCTTGTCTCAATCGATCGACTCAGCTCCATTGCTTGTTTCATCGCTAAACGCACGCTTTTCGTCGTCCGCAAACACACCAGCACCAAGTCGATCGCTTTCTGGAAATACTTTTTAAAGTCAAGAAGGTCAAGGACGTCAAGAACGTCAAGAACAAGGCCAAGGAGGTCACGGACGTCAAGAACAAGCTCAAGGACGTCAAGAACAAGCTCAAGGATGTCAAGAACGTCAAGAACAAGCTCAAGGACGTTAAGAACCTCAAGAACCAGCTCAAGGACGTCAAGGACGTCAAGAACAAGGTCAAGAACAAGGTCAAGAACGTTAAGAACAACATCAACAAAGTTATTCAGCTATTCAGCTATTCAACTCTTCAACTCTCCAACTCTTCAACTCTTCAACTCTTCAACTCTCTCCCTTACCCTCCATTTCAATCTCGTTTTAAACGCCTGAATCTGGGAGATGGTGATTGCCGCATTTTTCCGCACATCAACATCGTCACCGTCTGGCTGGAAATGTGATTAAAGTTTATAGATTTAAAAATAACAAATTAAATACAATTCGATTGCTTTTCTAATTCTTAATCATTTAGTACCAAGAGTACATTTAGTACATTTAGTACTCTTGTGTATTAAATGAGTACTAAATAGTACATTTAGTACTCTTGTGTACTAAATGTACTCTTGTACAGTTTTCCTACTCTGTACAGTTTTTGCTTTTTGTTTTTGTTTTGTTTCCTTTTTCTTTCTGTTTTGTTTCTTATTTCCTTTTTATTTTTTTGATATTTCATAGAAAATGAATATTTGCAGTGTTGTTTACGAAACAAAAACCTTTATTTTATTTGTTTATTTTGAAGGGAGTGAAGGGGGAGCTTAAGCATTTGAAAGACAAGCTATTGATAGCTAGTTCTAGACTCTATCAATCTAGTCTTAGACTCTATCAATCTAGAACTAGACTCTATCAATCTAGTCTTAGACTCTATCAATCTAGAACTAGACTCTATCAATCTAGTCCTAGACTCTATCAATCTAGAACTAGACTCTATCAATCTAGAACTAGACTCTATCAATCTAGAACTAGACTCTATCAATCTAGAACTAGACTCTATCAATCTAGAACTAGACTCTATCAATCTAGTCTTAGACTCTATCAATCTAGAACTAGACTCTATCAATCTAGAACTAGACTCTATCAATCTAGAACTAGACTCTATTAATCTAGAACTAGACTCTATCAATCTAGAACTAGAGTCTATCAATCTAGAACTAGACTCTATCAATCTAGAACTAGACTCTATTAATCTAGAACTAGACTCTATCAATCTAGAACTAGAGTCTATCAATCTAGAACTAGACTCTATCAATCTAGAACTAGACTCTATTAATCTAGAACTAGACTCTATCAATCTAGAACTAGAGTCTATCAATCTAGAACTAGACTCTATCAATCTAGAACTAGACTCTATTAATCTAGAACTAGACTCTATCAATCTAGAACTAGAGTCTATCAATCTAGAACTAGACTCTATCAATCTAGTCTTAGACTCTATCAATCTAGTCCTAGACTCTATCAATCTAGAACTAGACTCTATCAATCTAGTCCTAGACTCTATCAATCTACAATTATCAATCTACAATATCTACAATCTATCCATAAAACAAACCCCTCTAATCCAAGGATGTCTTAAACACTCTTCGACAGTTGCTCTCTTCTTTGCATCTCTCACAAAAAGTCTCGAGATGAAATCTTTCGCGAATGGTGATGTGTTTTTGAAATATCTAAAGAACGAGTTTACAGAAATTACCGAAATTCGTTTATTCACAGATTTAGATCAATAAAAAAACGTTTACCTTTCCGTAAAATGATAGTTGACACCAGTGATGTTGCAAAAAGTCTCATCTCTAGTATCACCAAGGAATGGACTCCCACCGGAGAGTCTAAAAAGGAAAAAATGAGACAGTTTAATGACAATTGAAAGAATGTAATAGACATGGACAGAGATGTACTAGACATCTAGACATGTACTAGACTAGTACTAGACATGTACAGAGATGTACTAGACTAGTACTAGACATTTACTAGACTACTAAACTAGTACTGGGCATGTACAAGGCTACTAGAACTAGTACTAGACATCTACTAGACTACTAGACTAGTACTAGACGTCTACTAGACTACTAGACATGTATAAGACATGTACTAGACATCTAAGACTACTAGACTAGTACTAGTCAGGTACTAGACATCTACTAGACATCTACTAGACTTCTACTAGTCATCTACTGGTCATCTACTGGTCATCTACTAGACATCTACTAGTCATCTACTAGACATGCCTAGCCATCTACTAGACATGTCTAGCCATCTACTAGACATGTCTAGCCATCTACTAGACATGTCTAGTCATCTACTAGACATGCCTAGCCATCTACTAGACATGTCTAGCCATCTACTAGACATGTCTAGTCATCTACTAGTCATCTACTAGTCATCTTAGACCTAGACATCGACTTCCGACTTACTAGTCATCTACTAGAATAGTACTTTTACTGTTTTAAGCTTAAAGTACAAGTTATTCGTGATCTTTGATACTTTGAGTATCTTTGACTCTTTTAGCACTCACAGAATGTAAGTGAGCACACCAAGAGCCCACATATCGGTTGCCGGTGAGAGAGGCTCGTAGTTGACGACTTCCGGAGCTGGAATTTGAGTGTTTCGTGATCTAGTTGATGAAATGATTGTTCTCACCAACAAACTCGGGCGTTCCAACCATATCTTTGATGAGATGCCCTGGAAGAATCTGTCGAGAGAGACCGAAATCAATGATTTTGATTTGGGCTTCACCCTTTTTCTTCAACATCACGTTTTCTGGCTAAATATTTGAAAGGATTATCGTTTTTATGTGCTCTTTACAGTTTTTATAAGTCTCTATCGGATAGAGAAGCTTGCAGTAAGCCAGATAGAGTCCGAAAATTTGAACGCTTAGAACTTTTGATAGAGTGCTCTGTAGCAAAAAAAGGAAAACAGATTCGGAATCAGTGTGAGATTCTGCGTCGAATGGGCTAGAGCTTATGTCATTTGGCCATTCAGCTTCCTTGTTTGTCTAAGTCTGAAGCTCTACAAATCAGTTGGATTAGGCCGAAACTCGATCAGAAGTCAGACCAGGTTCAACCCCAGCCAAAAGTCAAGCCAAGTCTAGATCCAACAGCTAGATGATGTTAGGAAAGGCTTGAAAAGTCTGGAGTTGATTTAGAAATGCTACTGAACTTATGGAAACGGGTTGGCGATCTTAAGATCAAGCCAAAACCATCTGGATCAAGATCAAGCCATCTGGATCTAGATTAAGCCATCTAGACCAAGCCAAAGCCATCTAGACCAAGCCAAAGCTATCTAGATCCAGATCAAAGCCATCTAGACCAAGCCAAAGCCATCTAGACCAAGCCAAAGCCATCTAGACCAAGCCAAAGCCATCTAGACCAAGCCAAAGCCATCTAGACCAAGCCAAAGCTATCTAGATCCAGATCAAAGCCATCTAGACCAAGCCAAAGCCATCGACGGCTCTAGAGTCAAAGCCATCTAGACCAAGCCAAAGCTATCTAGATCCAGATCAAAGCCATCTAGACCAAGCCAAAGCCATCTAGACCAAGCCAAAGCCATCTAGACCAAGCCAAAGCCATCTAGATCAAGACCAAAGCCATCTAGACCAAGCCAAAGCCATCTAGATCAAGCTAGAGCCATCTAGTTCAAGCCAGAGCCATCTAGATCCAGATCAAAGCCATCTAGATCAAGCCAAAGCCATCTAGATCAAGCAAAGCCATCTAGTTCAAGCCAAAGCTATTAGATCCCAAAGCCATCTAGATCAAGCTAGAGCCATCTAGTTCAAGCCAGAGCCATCTAGATCAAACCAAAGCCATCTAGATCCAGATCAAGCCAGACAAGAAGAACTCTAGCTAGCTAATCCCTCAACCAATGATCTCTCCTTTATAATATCTATATAAAAACCTTTATAAAATCTTTATATCAATAAACCTTTATATCAAGATGGACGATATTTTGAGCGTGTAGATGGTGAATTCCCAAAAGGATTTGTTTGATGAAAGCTGCTGTTTCCACCTGTGGAAATAAAGGTTATAGATAAAGAAATAAATAAAGAAATCTCGAGTTTTAAAGCCTCAACTATAAAATTTTGCATTTCTTAGCTTTTATCGATCTTTTTTGACTAACCTCGTCGAGATATTCCTTCTCGCAGACGTGATCGAAAAGCTCTCCGCCGGAGACGCTAAAATCTAGCTTTTATAGAGTCAACTATGCTCGTTTTATATGGAAATTGATTGCAAAAGATCTACAAAAGATTAATCTACAAGAAATCGATTGCAAAAGACTGAGGAAGAGATTGAGGAAGAGACTGAGGAAGAGACTGAGGAAGAGATTGAGGAAGAGACTGAGGAAGAGACTGAGGAAGAGAATGAGGAAGAGAATGAGGACTGAGGAAGAGACTGAGGAAGAGATTGAGGAAGAGAATGAGGAAGAGACTTACAGTTCTAAAACAAGAATGACATCGCCGGGCGTCTCGTAGACGTCGATTAACTCGACAACGTTTGAGTGACCGCTCACTGCTTTCAGCACAGAGACCTGGAATGGGAAACTCCAGAAAGCTGTAAAAGCTGAAAAACTGATCTGATCCTGATCCTGATCTTGATCCTGATCCAGATCCTGATCTTGATCTGATCCAGATCCTGATCTTGATCTGATCCAGATCCTGATCTTGATCTGATCCAGATCCTGATCCTGATCTGATCCTGATCTGATCCAGATCCTGACCTGATCCTGATCCCGATCCAGATCCTGATCCAGATCCTGATCCTGATCCAGATCCTGATCCTGATCTGATCCAGATCCCGATCCAGATCCTGATCCAGATCCAGATCCTGATCCAGATCCTATTCCAGATCCTGATCCTGATCCTGATCTGATCCTCCTGAAGCCAATCACTTTCTCGATTGCCACAATCTCAACTCTACCACCTCCCACCTCTCTCTCAATATTGACTCTCGTAACTCCACGTCTCGACGTTGCGTAACGACGCTTTCGAATAAATTTCGCAGCGAATTCTTCACCCGACTCTTTCCTCCGAACTTTCCTTACAATTGCGAATTGACCGCTAAACAATTCGTTTGCTTAAATCTCTGAAATTCTTCTCAAACCTGCCCAACTCATCTCCGACCTCAAACACTTGATCAAAAGGCGTCTCATTGAATCGCATTGTGCATGGCTCTTCGCCTAGAAATTGCAATTATTTCTATTTGTAATTTGTCAATATTATATTAGGATAAACCGAATGAAAAAGTCGTTTTCTACAATAATTTTATTGCTAAAATAATGCGAAAATCTGGAGGAATGGCTTATTAGCTTATTAGAGAAATTATTAGCGCTTTAAGATAAGATAAGAATTATTAGCGCTTTAAGATCCTCATCCCCTTTTGAAACCAAGCTCGATATTGTCTGTGATTGGCCAAATACACTTGAAATGATTTTATGAGAATTGGTTGCCGTTTTTTCTTGTTTCCCAGCATATAAACTCGAATTCGATACTTCAAATCATTCATACAAAGGAAGAAAAGTCAAAATTATCCTAAAAAAGTCAAAATTAGCAGGATAGGAAGAGAAATGGAGAAGGAAGGAGAGAAGGAAGGAGAGGAGGAAGGAGAGAAGGAAGGAGAGAAGGAAGGAGAGGAGGAAGGAGAGGAGGAAGGAGAGAAGGAAGGAGAGAAGGAAGAAAAGAAGAAAAGAAGGAGAGAAGGAAGGAAAGAAGGAAGGAAGGAATGAAGAAAGGAAGAAAGGAAGGAAGGAAGGAAGAAAGGAAGAGAACAGGCTTTAAGTAACATGAAAATATATTCATTAGATAGTCAGCAATCAACATTTAACGATAAAACATTTTGCGACGGTTTCATTCGGTTCAACCTAATATATTTTCACAATTTGGTTCCTTTTCATTACAAATAAGTAATTTAAATCATTCTTGCTTTTATAAAATAATTGAACTATTCTTCAACTAATCAACTAACAAAAACAAAAACTAACAAAAACTAACAGCGACTACGCGAATGTACGAGGGGGATGGGGTACTATTACAGTATTACAGTAGGTTCTTGCTTTTAAATAATCGCGCGCAGGAACGAGGGAAGGGTTTTTAGTAGTTTCTATATGAAATAAAGCTGAAATCGAAGCAATGAGCAATTAACTTTAAACTTGGGTAATTAAACCGGCTGACGAGGGTGTCCGACGCCATCTACCCCAGCGCCGTGTCAAGCCGTTTTCACAGAGAAAGGACGCACAGAGAAGCACAATACCAACCAACTTCAACCCCAATTTTACCCCACTAAACGCCGTGCGCCAGAGGCTGTTTGTTCCTACCAACGACGACAAGAGTACGCACATTTGGGTAGTCAAATCGACCAGCGTGTTTACCCAGAGCCGTATGCCAGATGCCGTTTTATGAGCGACGTAAAGAGTACGTAGACTTGGGTAATTAAACCGGGGCAGGGGGGCTTTTCGGTCGCTTCTACCGGGGCCGTGTGCCAGACGCCGTTTTTTCTTACGACGACAAGGGTACGCACAGAGAACGCACAAAATGGTCCCACCAACTTCAACCCCAATTTTACCCCACAAAACTCAACTTTTCCCTGATAAACCTAATATTTATTTGATAGGTTTTTTCAAGGAGAATCGATTGCAAAAAGAATTCCCTCGATTCGTTGTAAATTGAGGGTTTTAAACGCATAAAAAAAGCTTACCTGAAGTTTGTCTCCTCAATTCTTCCCGCATTTTCCGCTCAATGAAAGGCGGCTTTGTCGGCGTATACCCGTCTTCATAGAGAATAAAAAATCGAGAGGGTTCTCAGCAGCTTTGTTTCCTTTAGAATATATATCAAAATCTAAAAAAAAGGTTGAAATTGAAAGTTTGAAAGAATCATAAGAAAAGTTTGAAGAAAAAGGAAAAATTTTTTTGAAATTTCAAATGATTGGGTATTTGAATTGGGTTAATTGTTAATCAATTAATAAATAATTCGGTTTAAAGCTACGATTTTCAAGGCTTTAGGGCTTGGAAAACAGAAGAATTCCCTAAATTCTCTAATTTTTTTGCATTTTTGAAGAGCCTTGAAGAGAATTTGAGGAATTTGTATTACGTAATGTGCATATGTCTGTCCGTCTGTCCGTCTGTCTGTCTGTCTGTCTGTCTGTCTGTCTGTCTGTCTGTCTGTCTGTCTGTCTGTCTGTCTGTCCGTCTGTCCGTCTGTCTGTCTGTCTGTCTGTATGTCTGTCTGTATGTCTGTCTGTATGTCTGTGAGCAGATTTATATAATTTTTAGTTTGTTAGGCTTAGAATTCTATGTACTTTGTATCTCTTACTTCATTTTTTAAAAAATGCAAAAGTGAAAGCACGACCGGGAGTCGAACCGCGATCGTGTGGGTTCCAGACCAGCTCCCTACCGACTGCACCACGGCGACTAAAAGTCCACGAGAAAAAAATCCTACAAAGTTCCGCCTAGCCGCCTTGGGGGAGTCGGCGTTTGCGACCCGGGAGGACCGAGTAAGTTTATCTGGCTTTTCCTTTCGGGCTAAAGGGTAGTGGTCTTGGCGCAGTTGGGAGCAGGGTGGTCTACAGTTCACATGATCAAGGTTCGACTCCCGGCTCAATACTAGAAATCTTCTTTTTTTCTAATTTTGACTTCAAAACATTCAGAGAGAAAAAAGCAACTGGTATCGGATAATTTAAGGCTTTAAAACTAGAGAGAAGATGGTTATAAATGCTTATAATGCTTATCAAGCTTATAAATGATTGTGAAATGGAGAGAAATGGAGAGAAATGGACAGAAATGAGAGCTTTCCTTTCCATCTTCGATTTTCAATTCTTTTCTCTTTTCTTTTTCCATTTTCTTATTGAAAAAGAGAAGAAATCCATCAGTGCTCTTTTTCGATAAAAACCGGGCTTTTGTCTTGATATTTCTCATAGATAGCTAATGAAGAAATCGATCAAGAACTTTGATCAGGATCCCGGATCGTTTGGGATCGAATCAGGGTATTCAGACAAATTATTTAACAATATTTAACAAGATTTAACAATATTTAACAATATTTATCAAGATTTATCAATATTTAACAATATTTATCCAAATTTATCCAAATTTATCAAAAATTTAACCCAATTTTTGATCTATTTAAGGGTCGATTAAAAGCTAAATAATTAAAAGCTAAAGAAAAATACTTGCGAACTTTGAGAATCGGATTAGCCGACTCAATTACCCAGGATTAAGATTGCCTGGGTTGATGTGGAGAAATGAGTCGCCTTGCTCAGCTTTGGAAAGAGATTAAAACCGGGTTTAGTTACTCAATCTGGTCCAATTACCCGATCAAAGCCTGATGGATCTAAGCCTGGATCAAAGCCTGGATCTAAGCCTGGATCTAAGCCTGGATCTAAGCCTGGATCAAAGCCTGGATCTAAGCCTGGATCTAAGCCTGGATCTAAGCCTGGATCAAAGCCTGGATCAAAGCCTGGATCTAAGCCTGGATCTAAGCCTGGATCTAAGCCTGGATCTAAGCCTGGATCTAAGCCTGGATCTAAGCCTGGATCAAAGCCAACCCAGCTTCGATGGAATCCTTATGGACTTTCAGCTTAGAAACATTCTTGATTCAATTACCCAACTTAGATCGAAGTGATAGAGTTCTTCTAAACTTTAGGAGTTAAAGAATTGAAGCCCGATTCAATTACGCATGATTTGGGGATTGATTCAGATCGATTCCCAATGGATCAAAGCCATTGGCATCAATGCCGGATCGATCAAATCAATCGCCAAAGCGATTTCAATCGTCAAAGCCTAGCCTGGTTCATTGCTTAGGTTCAATGCTTAGGTTCAATGCTGTGGTTCAATGCTTTGGTTCAATGCTTAGGTTCAATTCAATCGATGATCCGGTTCAATAACTCAAAAGAAAGAGCTCAAAAGTGTTCAAAAGTGTGAAAAGTTCAAACATTGAAGCTTTCGAAAATCTTTTCCAATTCTCTTTTCTTCAAAATCCTTTCATTAACGTAAACAAATCTCTTTCCAATTTTTGAGTTTTAGGGAAAGAGGGAAAGATTTTGAGTCAGGAAGATGGATTTGAATGATTGATTTAAATGATTTGAATGATTTGAATTATTGATTTGAATGATTTGAATGATTTGAATGATTTGAATGATTGATTTGAATGATTTGAATGATTTGAATTATTGATTTGAATGATTGATTTGAATGATTGATTTGAATGATTTGAATGATTTGAATGATTGATTTGAATGATTAGAATGATTTGAATTATTGATTTGAATGATTTGAATGATTTGAATGATTGATTTGAATGATTTGAATGATTTGAATGATTTGAATTATTGATTTGAATGATTTGAATGATTTGAATGATTGATTTAAATGATTTGAATGATTGATTTGAATGATTCAAACGATTCAAACGATTCAAACGATTCAAACCATTTAAACGATCTAAATCATTTAAACAATCTAAATCTAAATAAAACTCTTTTAAAGCTCTCTTTTAATTCAATTTTCTATAATTAATAAAAAAAATCTAAAAATCAACTAAAGATCAGAAAACAGAGAGCTTTTAGGGTTAAAGGAAAAAAAAAATCAAAAATGCATTGTGTCTAGAGCTTTTTTTGGAGGTCAAAAAGACTAAAAAGAGAAAGAAAATAAAAGAAGCTAAAGAAAAAAGGGTACTTGTCGGTTTAATATTGACAAAGATGAAGCAGCATCCCCCCTCACAAGTTGTCAGCTTCTTGCTTACGCAAGAACTTCTTGGTTATCGATTTTCAGTGATCGATTGATCGATTGAAGACTTCAGGAGATCGACTAGAGCTTTAGACGATCGACTAGAGCTTCAGACGATCGACTAGAGCTTTAGAGGATCGACTAGAGCTTCAGACGATCGACTAGAGCTTTAGACGATCCACTGATCACTTCTGAACTTCTGAACTTCCTCTACTTCACTGAACATCACCCCTCACAAGTTGTCAGCTTCTTGCTTACGCATTTACAGAGAAAGCTTTTGAAAACGCATTCTAAAAGCTACCCAAATCAGCAATTTCCATTGCAGTGAAGTAGCGGAAGTGATCAGTCGATCGTCTGAAGTCGAACGAAAATCGATAACCGAGAAGACTCGAATGGAGATGCTTCACAGAAAGAAAGGAAGTTAAGTGGAAGGAAAGGAAGTTA